AGTTGGTCTGTCTTCTACAGGGATGCATGTATTTCAGTGCCTGAACCTACAACTCTACTTCTACGGAGTGTTCTACTTACGTTTTTCTTAATGACAGTTTTGGTATCTGGGCTGGGCTGACAGCATGTATGCTTAGAAGTAACTTTAGGTCTTTCTGAATGCTGTCTCATTTACTAAAGTTTAGGAAAGCCAGAGTGGTTTCTGAGGAGGTCTGAGAAAGCCGATTGGTAGTGGTTTGTTTGAAGTCATGGTTTCTTTGAGTAATAACCTAGCAGTAACGGGGAGTTTCTGCTCCCCCTTGTGGTGAAACTGAGTGGTCATGGGGAAAAAAGCAAAAGCTAGTAATGCAAGGCTAAGCTTGGAATTGTGCAGCAGCTTCACCTCAAGGTAAAATGATTTACTCCTTTCCTAGCTGCATTACGTATTATGCAGGAAACCTTGCCTATCCCTTTACCAGTGCAGTCAGGTGGCATTGCTGTTTCTGCAGCTGTGAAACACTTGGACCTTGTGTGCCCACAAATCCATACAGCTACCAGTGCTAAAATATGAAATTAAGTTCCTAGTTATGGAGTAGATGTAGAATCTCTTGGGGAAGTATTTGAGATGCATTCTGTTATCATATGAAAGGGGGTTGCATCACACCTTTTGGGATGGAGCCTTTTGTACAGGCATTGTAGATGGTTACTTTTCAGCACATTGTGGTGCTTACAAAAGCCTTATGAAATAAAAAGATGGGCATATCACAGAAAAGATAGTCATTGTCCCTTTGAAATCCCTCTGATGTTGCTTGTGCTGTTTGGGGCATGCAGCAATTATCTGACTTAAGTCAGTTGGTTATTTCTAGCAGTGTTTTTTGGGAACTGTAACTTAGCTCTTAGACTAAATCAGTATGTTAATAAAGTGATGGGGAAAATATCTTTATGCAGAAGAGCTGGACACTGCAACACTGTGCAGATTATTCTTCTAAACCTGTTCTTCTTGGCAGTTCAACACAGTGAAAATAGTCTGCTACCATGTGAATGGGCACCCGGCCATCTTAATGAATAGGCTTGAATGGAACCAGCCAAGCAATTCAGATGGGCATCATTGTATGTTCTGAGGGTAGAATTTAAATTTGGGATCACAAATAGGTCTCCCAAAATTTTTGTTCTAAACCAAACAAGGACTGTTTGTGCATACTGCTGAGACAGAAACTGTTAGGCTGGGGAAGCCTCTTGGCTTTGTTGTACTGGTAATATTGAGGGCCCCATCTGAATTGCAGAGGTGTACAGAGCATATTCTTTGCGTGTTAGGACTGAATGGAGAGACTCAGAGAGCCTCCAGGGCTAGACAAAGCTGTGTGCCAGCACTGTGCCTGAATAGCTATCCCTTTAAACTCTAACCACTGACAGTTTCTCAGTATGCTGGTACAGGGAAGTACTGTACCGATCCCTCATTCTGCCATTTCTTAATGCTCCATTCCCAAAACAGAGGTCCTAGCTTAGTGTTCTCAGAACCCCTCAACATTCACATATAAATATGGAAAGTTGATGGAGCAGCAGTCAGTGTATGAACAATCCACTTATGTCTCAGTTTGTGAGAATAATAGAATCACAGAATGGTTTGGGTTGGAAAGGGCCTTAAGATCATCTAGGTCCAACCCCCTGTTATGGGCAGGGAGGCCTCAGCCAAATTTGTCCTGGTTCATTGTTCTTTTTTCCTCTGACCAAAATGTATCTTTCCAAGCCAGAGACTTACATGTCTCCATGCAGACAACACAGGTGTTGTAGATATTCTGAGACAGTAACTTACAAGAGATTCTCTGTTGCTGTCACTCAATAACCAAAGATTCCAGTGCTTTAGAAGGACAGGTGAAATACTAGATCTGTTCTGACAGTTATCTGAGTTTGTGGTACACTTGTATGTTAAGATTTCTTGTTTTCCTTTGAGTCAGGCTCTAGGAGTGGGGATAGATTCTGAGCTCTCTGTGTTGTAATTCCTGAGAGTAATGATCTCTTTTAAGTGGTGATTCCCAAGAGAAACAAGCATGGATTACTTCCTTTCCAATTGTTTAGATCCAGATCTGTTCTTAGTCAACATTTTTAACAGCAGATTGAAAACATTAAAAGAACTGCTCAACCATGTAAAACATGTAACTGCACATGCGATGCTATGTTCATACAAAAAAGCTCAGAAGCTATTGCTTGCAATAATAACACAGATCATAGTTATGGACAATTTTTGCTGTGAAAACATTCATATTTCAGCTGTCAAGCAGTGCGTGAATTGCTTAAAACTTCAATCACACAAAATCAATGGATTTCTCATGATGGGGAATCAGAAAGAAGGGCTGTGCAGAGAGCATGTAAGGTATGGAATATATTTATCTGATACCCAGGCTTAGGAGTATTGCTCAGAGTGTAAACTCTGGTGTGGGAGAGACAAAGAGCCTTGTTTTGCACTTCAGCACTGCTATGACCCTTGACTGTTTTCTGTATCTTGCAGCAGAGCTTTCTTTAGAAACAACTCAGCTCTGAAGTGCCAAGTTTAACAAAGCAAACTAACAGTTGTGACTGAAAGTGCTCTCTGAAAACATAATGAAAGAAGGAATATTTATTCTGAGCCTTAGAGTGATGGCATTCTGCCCCTTTTCAAGTACATGAGATGTTTATACACGTGAAGTAAAAAAAGAGATGATTTATTTTTCCCTTTTGTTTTGCCAGATGCTTTTCTGGTCATTTGGTTAAGTAGAATTTGGCATTCCTTGAGTCATTTAGGAACATATAATGAAGCCCTAATGGCAGGAAACAACAACAAAGCCATTACTACTTTATAACCCACCCTGCATTACATGCAAAATGATTGCCGGAATCAGTTTTCCACGGTTTCTGAAGTGATGTGGAACAGCTAATCCTGTGCAAGTGTTTTTTTTTGTCAGAGGGAGGAGTGAATTATGCTGATAATACTGATAGAACTAATTTAGTTAGGAACTGTGTGCCTGGCACTGGGAGAAGCAGTGCCTGTCTGCCACATAGCTGTTATATGATTTTGCATTACTGGCTTAACGACTTCATGTTATTTGAGTTAAAACCAGTCACCTTTCATCTGAACAGAATTAAGAGATCAAGAAGACCAACAGAAAGTCAGCTTTGGTCTTAGAGTCTCCATCAGCAGTGTTTAAATGTGTCTAAATTTTCATCAGGTTGTGAGCACCAGAAGCAAACTTTTCTTTTTAATCTACCATCCACACAAAAGTGAATTGTATTTCAATGTAAGATTAAAAACACTGTGAAGAAGTAACTGCAAAGGTGATTTGAAGCACTCTCTTGTCTGGGTTGCAAGTCTGAAACATGGGCTCTTGTATTGCACAGGGACGCCAGGCAGAGTTTGTGTTTGTGAACTCTGCTGACCAGTGATGTACCTGAAAACATGGCTCACAACACAGCACACACCTCAGAATTTTTACTGTTCTTTAACTACTCTCTTGTATTAACTGGTAAGACCCCATGTAATTTAAAATGCGCATTCAAGGTAAATGGATGGGTATACTTTAATCTCGGTACTTCAACTTTCAGTCTGTACGAGACAACGTATATTACTTATCTGCAGAGATGAACAAACTGTTAACATAGGAAAGACACCATCATATGAAGCACCCTAAGAGGGAAGAAAAAACAGACGTTTTCTTTCTGCAAATAGCTCAAAGAGAACCTATTGGGAAAATTGAGTGCGTGACCATGAACAACCACTTTTAGCTGTAAAGAGCCACACTTGTAACATTCTAATTCCCAAACTGACTTAGCAGACTTATTTAAAATAATTCCTATGCCTGTTTAAATACACACCACTCCTGCTAGTTATATCCATCAGCAAGAATAATTTAGTAAGGTAGAACATGGTAATCTCACCATAAAGTGCTTGTGCTAACGTAAGGGAGGCAGCAGAATGTTACCGATGGGAAGACAGAAAAGATGGGTCCTTTCAGCAATATGTTAAGACTTGGGCCCTTCATCACCTTTCAGAATTAGAGGCAAACACTGATTTATGAAGCAGCATTTACACAGATGCCTATAGGGATGCTGGGGATGGACTCTTCATTAGGGACTGTAGTGATAGGACAAGGGGTAATGGGTTAAAACTTAAACAGGGGAAGTTTAGATTGGATATAAGGAGGAAATTCTTTCCTGTTAGGGTGGTGAGGCACTGGAATAGGTTGCCCAAGGAGGTTGTGAATGCTCCATCCCTGGCAGTGTTCAAGGCCACGTTGGATGAGGCCTTGGGTGATATGGTTTATAGCGAGGTGTCCCTGCCCATGGCAGGGGGGTTGGAACTTGATGATCTTAAGGTCCTTTCCAACCCTAATTATTCTATGATTCTAAATTAGTCCTAGATATGAAGGTTACCAAAATTTCTAGTATTTAAGATGCACGCAAAATAAAATCAAATAAGTCGTATAGAAATTTGAACAATTTCACAGAATCAAGCCTTTAAAAAAAATTTAACAGGCACAGCTTAAAACATTTTAGCTTTCCTCAAAATCTAAGAATGTCTTGTCTGTTGTACAAGAAACGAGTATGTAGTATGAAGAATACCAGCTATTACAAACCAGGTTGTATGAAGGACTGTGTAATGTCACTCATTCTGGTCAGAACCAGAAATGCCTTGAACTACATCTCTGTATGTTGACTCACTGAACTTTATGTATTTACATCTAAGCTTATTAAAAACTGCCTTTACAGTTAACATTCAGAAACAGGGATATACAGACTATGACCCATTTCATCTTAACATAGAAATGCTCACACGCATGGATACTTCATGCTAGCTTTTCCATGTACACGAGATGCCAGTAAGTTGTTGCAGAGTTACAGATGCTGGCCACACAAACACTTTTCTTCCTTGAAGAAAAGCTAACAAATTTGATTTATTTTTTTTTTAATCTAGGTCTATATAACACCTGATAAAGCTTAATCCATGAAATTTAACTACACATTCCTTAATGGCTTTGCATTCACATCAAAGTGGTTTCACCCATCAGAAGTAGTTTATTTTCTACATTGTTTGCAAAAGTTATTATTAGCATGCTTTGTAGTGAATGACAGAGGCACATTCCAACAGAGTACTACCACTGTTTAGAGAATGAAAAACAACCGATCAGTCTTTCCTCCACAACATGAGATCTCATAACAAGATTAGGTTCACAACAAAGTGCTTATTCTTCAAATTAATACGACACCACTTGAACTTATTTAGCAGTTATTGTAAGCAGCCTCCATCAAACAGGTTAATATTTTCATAGGGCAGACATCCAGAAACTTCTGAAGACAATGTCAATATTTTAATAGCTGATTCCAAAAGCTTGCACCAGCCTGCTCCTGCTGTTTTGGCTGGCACAGAACTGTTTAGAAACTGGTCTATGATCTGCACTGTTATTGGACAGGGCAAGTTTTAGCATACCCAAGTTAGTCTGGTCAGTTTGAGAGGGCAGCTAGATCAGTGGTGTGTTCTGTGGTTTTGTTGCTATTTTTTTTTAAGTTTATTTTATGAGTAGATAATTACAAATATTCCAAGCTATTTGTAAGCTTCCCATTAAAAACACTTAGTTAGGTGACTCATATTTCCTATACAGAACAGAGAGGCATGAAACCTCTGCAAGAGTTGTGAAAACACTGTCTCCAGGGAACCTTGTAAATTTTAATGATGCCAATAGCAGAAAAATGACCCGGGACTTTCCTCCCACAGTGTAAGAGTCACAGAAAGCAAGAAGCAGGGGAAGAGGTTGCTAAGCCATCAAACATAGGAGCAGTGAATAAAATGCCTTTTTTTTGTAACTGAACCACAATAGTTTATGTAATCTTCACGGTGTTTTGTATTCCTACACTTTCAGCATATCCAAAACCATTTTAAGCTGTTCACTGTTAATAGCTGCAGCTGTCTTTAAGAGTTACTATAAAATTTATTTGTAGATAACTGGAAAGTTACTTAAAAACAGTAGAAAAGTTTATTTGTTCATCTTTCAGTACTTCTTTCTAAAGAACATGCAGGTTTGGGGCCTGAAATAGACTGCATCTTTTGTATCTGATTAGTCCAGCTTTGTGTTTAATTAGAGGTTTATTTTTTTCCTGTATGAAAATTAGGCTCTGAAAACAGATTCTTGTGTGGCTCTAGAAGCAACCAATGCAGTACATTTAAAGGAGATAATAGTTCAAATCCCCAAGGCATTGTGAAACAGCTACAGTCAACAGTCTAAATTTTTTTTTTATGCAACTTGCAATATGTGAAATTCTTACAGCTTGATTTAGATCAACATCAATGCAACAGTTAACAAGGAAAACCTCATCAGTCCAATACAGGGATATGGACACCTCTTGACATGAAAATACAGATATTACTGCTGGTCCTTTGAGAAGTTAGTCAAAGCAATAGCAAGGTATGTTGAAACAGCAATAAGCCACACACTCATCAGCATTCTTGGTCACTTAACATAGCTATGTCAAAATTTTCAAGCCTCCAGGTGACATGGCTATCACTAGAACATAAATACAATGAATTAATGGAGTTTTATAGCAACAAAAAAGGGAAGGCACGCATAAGGAATTAAAACGGATTGGCACTATTATTCCAAAGGTAAATATTTGTGACTTTGTTTCAGTTAGGAGAAATGTTACAAAACTGGAAGATTTAATTAACTAATTATAAGTGTTCACCAAAGTATATAACTAAGATTCTAACAAGCTCTAACAATTATAGTTTTCCTTAAGCCAAAAACCTAACCTCACATTTGTTAATGACAAAGAGCAAAGCTTTTAACCCTACTAATACTAAACTGAAGTATCCTGACATTTGAATGTCTCTTGAGTACTTCAAACTACCATTAAAGGCAGTATATGACAGTAGATATCCAAGACTAAAAATTTTGCCAATAGCTTTAGAATAAATGTTCACATTTAACAAAAAAAAACAAAAAAAAAAAACCAACCATGCATAGGATAGTTCTTCATAACATTTTTTTCTAGGAATAAGTGACAACATCTGTTGTAGATATGGGGTCCCAACCTCCCTTTTAAACTACTGAAATGTATATACAGTATCTATCAGCAACACAGGACTGATCTAACATTCTCTTCAGACAGCATCTGCACAAAGTTGCAAATCTAGGTGAAAACATTTACAATGTTAAAAGTGCTTTTACAATGAATACACTATTTAGATACATAAAGTTTCAAAATACTTCATGAACTCTGAAATGGTTATCTAAGGAGGGAGCATCATCAGCAAAATGTAGTTGATCGTTTACTTCTACACCAAATCCTTCAAGTATCTGTACAAATTTCTCATGCTCTCTCCCAATCCATGACCTCATTGTGTCAAACACTTGGTATGGCGTAACATGAGCATGAACTTCAACTCCTGTCTCCGCAAGTTCTTTCAGCACTTCAGGGTAAGTAACCCAAGTATTGCTTCCTCCCGAGTGACCACCATCCAGCCAGTAAATTGCTTTTATGTTTTTTACGAAGGCATCTGTATTCTTGTCTTTTTTAGCTTCCTTCAGCTCATAAAGTAGCTGGTTCAAAACCACACAACCTTTACTGAAGCCAATCAAAGTAAACGACGCTGCACCTACAGCAGATGGTACAATGAAGTTCACAGTGGAATTATTAGAGCATTCACAATCTCTCTCTCTTTCTGTGGATGAGGCACCATTTGTTGTAGGAACAGACTGCGGCTGTGATTTACAAGCAGCTATTTTTGCATCCTTGCTGACACCATGCATGCTTTTCTGGGACAGCAGAATATTCTGAGAGAGTCTGAATGCATTAACTAGCAATGCATGGAGATGCTTGAAAGCTCCAAAGTCTGTGCTGTGCTCTGGTGCTCCAAACATGTTGCTCACCACGAAGTTGTCATAACAACTGAATTTGTGCAGATGCATTCGAGAACATTTTACAACCCAAATGAAGCTATTAGGGAACCGGCGAGCAAGTATGGTCGCAATGTTTTCAAAACTCCAGTGGTCCCACTGACAGTTTTCTGGGTGGCAAGACATGACGTCATGATAGTTCTGAAAAAGTGAATACAACACATGTTACTACACTGTGAAAATACTTCAGCTCTGTCCAGTGTACTTACATGCATAAGAAAGGACCGCAACTAACAGAGAAACGTGCGTTAGAGAGGTGCTCGCTTGTTCGGCTTCCAGACCAAGAAACTGGCATACTTAGATTTACTTATTCTACTTTAATATTTATTACCATGCATTTTTAATACCCCAATATTAATGCAATAAAAATGAGCACATGAAAGTATTCATTATTTTTGTTTACTTCACTCCAAGAGCAGATAAAAGTATTATTCAAGTTATTGTGACACAGAATGCATAATTTTGCTGTATTATCTCCACCTGAACACTGATTATCTTATTATAACAATAGACTTAAGACTTTGTAATAAGTTTTATATCTTTTATACAGATTAAAAAAAAAGCACACCAAAACCATCTTATTCATCTATAGGGAATCTTTACTGTTCACATCCATATGGGGCATAAATGGAAAGAAATTAACACCCAGACCATGAAGGATCCTCACCTCTGCATTCATAATGGCAGAGAATACCAATTGATTTATTTTCTTAAGGAATAAAGCCATACCCAGGAATGAAAATCAGAAAGGTTTTCTTAGGCCATCCCAAGCCTTAAAATGAAAATCTACTAAGTTTTGCACATTTACCTTACAGAAAAGGAAAGGTTTTTCCCTAGAACAAAAAGGCACTAACCCCTGCTTTTGAGCAGTAATGACTTGTGAGATGAGCTGACCCTCTGTATGTTACAGAGGTCAACCACATGCTTAGTGACAGCACTTCAGTCTCTTACTTGTCAACTCTGATACAACACGTGCCATTCAGGACACACTGAGGGAGCAACAGCGCCCATGAAATACCGCAGGATGGTGCCTGGGATGTTTGTACACCTGCACAGAGACGGCATGCTAAACCTGATAAGAAGAACTTGCCATTTTAGGATTTCATTGTCTTTCCTCTGATGCTCTTTGACACTTTTTCAGATACTGCCATCACCGCCAGAAACGTCAATCTCAAGCAATACCATAGAAGACGACTCCCCTTCCATTGCTGATACATTTCAGGCTTCAGGAACGGCTCATTTCCGCTACATTTACCGAACGGTAACGAGCAGCCCAGAGATGCTTCCCTAGGGAAGCGCTCTGACTACCGCCGCGGGATCCCCGGCAGCGCCGCTTCCCCGCTCCAGCCCGCCATCGCTTACCGCCCGCAGCCCTCCCTGCCGTACCTGCACGTCTCCCGGGAAGTAGACAACATGATGCTGTTGCGGCGGGGCCGGGCCGCGCGGGGCCAGCGGCAGCAGCAACAGCAACTCGTTAGCCCGGTGCGGCTCCGCGCCCGGCACCTCAGGCAGCCGCAGCCACGGCGGGCTCAGCCGCGCTGAGGAGAACCCCGCGCCGCTGCTGCTGCCGCCGCCACCACCACCACCAGCACCCGCAGGCCCCGCAGCGCAGGCGGCCGGCACCCCGCAGAGACTCATGCTCTTGCCCAGGCAGAGAACAGCGGGGCCGACAAGCCCCCGCAGCAGCGAGGCCGCGGCCGCCGGGCAGCGCCTGCTCATGGGAATGCCAGCCCCACACCCCGGCAGCTACCTCCCTCCCGCGGCCCGACCACGCTCCACTGTGCGCCTGCGCACTACCACCCCCCCCCACTCCCCGCCTGGCCTCCATCTATCGGCACCCCCTCCAGAGACCCGCCGGAGGCGGAGCAATGGCGCGTCTAACAGGCGTCCGTTGCGGCCATAACGTCACCGAAGCCTTTAAAAGGAGAGCGGCGGGAAGCGGGAAGACGTGAGGTGGCGGCCGCGCAGGCGGTGGGGTTTAAGATGCTGAGTTTCTTGGGTGCTTCTGAAAGCATTTTCACGCCCTGTGCTACGGTTGGTTTGGGCACCAGCGCTCCACCACATGGGCTCAGGTGTGGGCTTGTTCCTGGGAGCTATGAGGCTCCTCAGTTCTCAAGTTATGTGGTGCCCCAGGTGAGCTTGTGCAGCTGGCGGCCCCTCAGCCTCACCCTGCCCCTGTGAAAACAGAGTTGAGGTGGTGGTGGTGTCCAGCTGGTGTCCTGCCTGTGCTGCCTTGTACTGAAAATAGTGCTGGGCTGGTGAATCTTAACAGAGAGGGGCCACTGAAATGGACAGGGTTGGAGCAGTTCTGTGACAAAAGGCTGAGAGAGTTGGGGTTGTTTAGCCTGGAGAAGATTCTAGGGAGACCTTATTATGGCCTTTCAGTGCTTAAAAGAAGCCTATAAGAATGATGGGGAGAGATGTTTCAGCAGGGTCTGTTGCAATAGGACAAGGGATGATGATTTAAACTAAAAAAGAGAAAATTAAGGCTGGGCATGAGGAAGAAATTACAACAAAGGTGGTAAAATATTGGCACACTGCCCAGAGGTGGTGGATGTGCCATCCCTGGAGGCACCCGAGGCCAGTCTGGAGGCGGTTCTGGGCAACCTTGTCTAGTTGAAAATGTACCTGCTTGCTGAAATAGTTGATGTTTGAAGGTCTTTTCCAACCCAGACTCTTCTGTGATTCTATTCTATGATTTATTTCTCAAATGTTGGTTGTATTAAAAAGCCCCAAACCAACAATCAGCCAAAATCCTATATGCTTACTGTACTTTGGCTATACTAGTGCTACTACATTGGAATAAAAGCTTTTATGTATACCGTTGTGAGAAACTGCATTTTACATGGTAAACAAAGCAAGGAAACAGCCTTTTCTTTATTCCTAAGCATTCCTGCTTGGTTTGTCTAGAGTTTTCCTATTTCATGTATTCATTCCTTTGTTCTGTTTTCTTAGCCTTGTTAAAAATGCTTGCATGCAAACCTGGGAAACTACTGGATACCAAGTCTGCCTGTTACTAGTTGAGTCAGTTGTGCAAGAAAGCAAAGTTAATTGAACAGTGATTGCATAATTGCATAACTTGCGTCGAACTATTGGCTAGTTTCTTCTTGCTGGAAAATTCAATAAATGAAAAGGAAATAGGATACTGTTAAGCCTATTTGTTAGTGTAGCAAGCAGAGTGGCATATTTTCCAAGTAATAACTCTAGCCTGTGCGGTTGTGTGAGGCCTGCTCATGTAAACTCAGTTTGAGCAAAGGTGTGTTCGTGGTCTACTCAGCACACTTGTATATTTCATGGGTATGGGTTTGGGCTCATGCCAGAGCAAGTGCAACAGTTCTTACTTGCTGTATGCCAAAGCTTATCCAAAAGCTCTTCTAGAAAGCAGACTTGCACTTTGTAATCAAGGGTTCATATGCAAGCTCAGAAGAACAATGTGTACTTTGAGGTTTCGTTGTTTATTATATTTAAAAAAATGTGTATTTTGGGGTTTTTTATTTGGAGGAATTTGTACAAGGTTGATGCCTGGTCCTTTTCATCGAAAGTGTAAGACATTTTAAGGGATATTTTTTCACTTTGTGTGTTTCTAGGGATAGTGGCTTAATAAAATTTTGTTGACTTCTTACAGAAGTTTCTTATTTTAAATATCTTCTTTTAAAACTTAACGTTACTATTTCTTTTGTGGAAATTATGCTTGCCATGGTTAACGTTTGGTCACCAGAAGATGGTGCTGTGCAGCATGGTTTGAAAAATCCGTATCAGAAGAGCCATCAGATTATAACCACTTTAATGTCTTCAGAGCCTGATATTAGAGGTACATTTCAGTGATGCTTTCTTTGGTTTAGAAGCTGATTAATACATTTGTAGTGGAGTTAGTGCTAAGTTGGAACTGGAATTCCTCTGTGAATTCCTGACTGCTCCCAGGATTTTAAAACTGAGCCATTTAGAACCATGGTGTGTCTGAGGCTGAAAGATGCCTCTGGACATGGTCAATCAACCGACCTGTTCAAAACAGGGTCAGCTAGAGCAGGTTATTCAGGACTGTGTCTAGCTGTCTTTTGAATATCCTGTTCAGTGATCAATCATACTTTTGGGAAGAAAGGTGCTTTGTTGAAAATAGTGCTGGACTGTTCTAACATGGCCTTCTTAGCTACAAGGGCACACTGCATGTTGTGTCTTGTTTATTTATCACTTTCACTTTCCTGTACATCGTGTAGGAAATATGAATGTTTATCGTGTTCATACAGCCACCAGGATAACAGATTTCAAATACCCACTTAGAAAAGCCACAGAATAAGTCAGGTATAAGAAGTTACAACAACATGGTGAAGTTTAAAGGCTATGTTTGAGGGGAAAAATGTAAAAAAGGATGCCTGTATTAGCTCCAAAACATAGGCACGTAAATCTGTAGTTTGATTCTTCTGAAAAAATTGAGTTATTTAACATGCTACCTGCATGTATTAGAAATCAAACTGTGAAGATCTAAATTTCTGTCAGGTACTTAGAAAAATACTTAGCTTGACTATTTGGAGGAGCAGTATCACAGTATGTTAGAGATTGGAAGGGACCTCAAAAGATCATCTAGTCCAATCCCCCTGCCGGAGCAGGAACACCTAGATAAGGTTACACAGGAACGTGTCCAGGCGGGTTTTGAATGTCTCCAAAGAAGGAGATTCCACAACCTCCCTGGGCAGCCTGTTCCAGTGTTCCGTCACCCTCACTGAGAAGAAGTTTCTTCTCAGGTTTAAGTGGAACCTCTTGTGCTCCAATTTGTACCCATTACCCCTTGTCCTTTCATTGTTTGCCACTGAGAAGAGCCTGGCTCCATCCTCGTGACACTCCCCCTTTATATATTTATATACACTAATAAGGTCACCCCTTAATCTCCTCTTCTCCAAACTATAGAGACCCAGCTCCCTCAGTCTTTCCTCATAAGGGAGATGCTCCACTCCCTTAATCATCTTAGTTGCCCTGCGCTGGACTCTCTCCAGCAGGTCCCTGTCCTTTTTAAACTGAGGGGCCCAGAACTGGACACAATATTCCAGATGAGGTCTCACCAGGGCAGAGTAGAGGGGAAGGAGGACCTCTCTCGACCTACTAACCACCCCCCTTCTAATACACCCCAGGATGCCATTGGCCTTCTTGGCCACAAGGGCACAGTGTCGGCTCATGGTCACCCTGTCGTCCACCAGGACCCCCAGGTCCCTCTCCCCTACACTGCTCTCTAACAGGTCGTTCCCCAGCCTATACTGGAACCTGGGGTTGTTCCTGCCCAGATGCAGGACTCTACACTTTCCCTTGTTATATTTCATCAAGTTATTCCCCGCCCAGCTCTCCAGCCTGTCCAGGTCCCTCTGGATGGCAGCACAGCCTTCTGGCGTGTCGGCCACCCCTCCCAGCTTAGTGTCATCAGCAAACTTGCTGATAGTACACTCAATTCCCTCATCTAAATCGTTGATGAATATATTAAATAATACTGGTCAAAGGTAGCAAAGGTAGATCATAAAGATAGCAAGTAAATGCTTGCAACTGTGGGACCCTATTTTGTCCTTGTTTCTGTATACACTGTGGTGCAGCCTTGCTTGCAGAAGGTGGGGCTGCACTGGAGCTAGGTTAGCTCTGTAAAAGAAGGAAGATGCATGTAGGAAGAAAGGCTTAAGGTTCCTAAAACCTTGTGAGGTGTGTGCATTTGGTGGGAGTGCAGCTTACTCTGTGTGTGTGGCCAGCGAGAAGTACCTAGGTGTTCACTTGGGAATTTCCTCAAAGCAAACCCATATTTTCCTTCTGGTTTGTGTTTTTGGGGTATAGTTGTAGCGTGTTTTCTAGATTTTTCTTGGTGAGCGTGCCCTAAAGCTATAATCTTAGTAGAAACTTTCACAATGCCTCTGCTAATGAAGCAACACTATTAAGGAAAAAATCTCTAGCTCACTCATACAACTGTTTATTTCAGTTCATGCAGGTGGATTTTCTTAATCCAATTTTGAGCTGTTCTGGTCCATGCTGACACTATAACTTTTAATTAGAAGGTAATGAAACTTTGTCACTTCTGTTTCCTAATAGGCACTGTGCTAAAAAAATACTAGGTGAGACCTGCTAATGTATAAGCATAAGAAAGAACTTAAGTGGTTTGCTTTTCTCAAATGAAGCAGGTAATTTCAAAAGATTGCCCACCAAAGTGTAGAACAATATAATGCCTGTGCTCTGAAAGTCTGGTTGCTTGTACCTTGATTGCTAAGGTTTGCTTACACAGGCAGAGCTCTTTCATGATTCATGAGATCAGATGGAGTAGTAAGGATTCGTTGACGAGAAGTGGTTAGGAGAATGAGATCTTACATTTTAGTAATTATTTTTGAGAAATGTTAATTATTATCAGTAGCATGAAAAAAGTTATCTGTGCTTTTTCCGTCACTGCCTGTATTTCCCTTATGTAGTTTTTCCAGATGAGAGATTAGCATGTCCAGAAAGGTTTGCAGCCATTATTAACATTCTCGTAATAGTTATTTGTGGTAACCAAAGGTGATGCTGGTACCACCCAGAAACCTTTACACAATGTGTTCATGGTACAACTGTTACCAGGTAAAGCAGATATATAAGGTGGCATACAGGCTTCCATCTTCATCCCAAATGCTACATCAGCATTATGGTAGAGCATGAAAATTAGTCCGTATCTCATCCAGAATTCAGATACACACAAAATAATCAAATTGGCTCTCTTGTGGTTATAGGAAATAACAGTGTATGTAACATGTTTTTTCCACTTAAAATGGAAAGCATCAACCTATTCCTACTTTCAGGAAGACACAAG